CATGGCCATTAGCCGAGTGCTTTGGCGCGATAGATAGTATCGGCTCAGTCGGATTGCTATGCACAATCGGCTGCTGTATGGCGAATGTTTCGGTGCCCAAGATAAGTGAGTCGGCATCCATTTTCTCCTTGCCTTTTCCTGACTCAATTGCTGCAACACTTGGTGATTTAACACGCCATTCTTTTTGACTTTCTAGATGCATGAAATTTCCACTCGGGCGCACCTTTTTGCTCTGATGGAATCCACTCGAATGGATGTCACTCATATGGAATCCACTCGGATGGAATTCAGTCGGATGGAATCTACTTGACCACATTTTTTCACTCGGATAACTTCCACCTGGGTGCATTCTTACACTCAGATAATTTCCATCCGGTCGCATGTTTTGACCAGCCGACTGATAGCCACCAATGTTCAGTCGGCCTCTATATGAATAGCCAACTCGATCCCAAACAGATTGCGTATGCTCTTCTGGAAACGGCACCCTTGGTCCACTCGGTTTCATATACTGATTGAACATATCAGCTGATGGTGACTTGGTCGCTTCAGATGAGTCGGTCGATTAAAACTAGAACCGGCCGACTGCTTGGTGTACTTGGACAGCAACATATCAAAAGTTGGCTTGATCCGCTTGCACTGTACTTTAACTTCATTCCTTTTCCACTTGCCAATTTCTGGACTCTTGGGCTTGACAAATCTCACACGAGCATTTTCTTGCACTTGCAGTTGCCCCCCGAGTGTAGGATTCTTGATGGTGATTTTGATTACTTCCTTGCCATCGGGCTGCTTATCAAGCACAACATGTCTCCCCAAGATAGTGCTGCCTTCCTTGTCTTTCCGGGGCTCACCAATAATGATATTAGCTTTATTAGCAGATTCGGCTACCTCAGGCCGAATGAGTAGATTCTTCCCCTCCAAATCCATGGTATTCATTGTAAAAGGTTGTTTATCAACTTGCATCTCAGAAAAGTTCAATCGTCCGTCATTAATGGCCGATTGTATCTGTCGTCGAAAAACATTGCAATCGTTAGTAGCATGAGAAAAAGAATTATGATACTTGCAATAAGCACGCCGTTTTAGCTCTTCAAACGGCGGTAAAGTATGAGATATTCTAATAATCTTAGCCTGCAGCAAAGCATCAAATATTTTATCACACTTAGCAATGTTAAAAGTAAACTTCATCTCTTCATCACGATTCTTATGAATCGGTTTCAGATCATTGCAAGTAAAGGGTTTGGCCTTAGATGGCCAAACAAATTCAGTAGCAAAAACATCCCCCTCATCGTCCGAGTGATCACTATCATATTCCACCATATTCATCTTTGGACGATCGGCTTTGTATCTATGCACTTCTTTGAGATATTTGCTTCGGCTTTCCTGAGCCAAAGCCCTTTGTAAGACTTGGTTGATATTTAAGAACTCATAACCTTCTATCTTTTATCTAATGGGAGTTCTCAAACCACTCAGCACTAGGTCTGCCAAGTCTCTCTCGGTTATCACCAAACTAAAACACCAGTTTTTTGTTTCTCTGAATCTCTTGACGTAATCGGAGACCGATTCATCATGCTTCTGTTTAACCGATGTTAGATGTGATAACTTGAGTTCATTGTCGCTGCTATAAAAGTGATCATGAAATTTCTGCTCTAGCTGCGACCAAACCCGAATGGAACCATGTGATAAAGAAGAAAACCATGAAAATGCAGTACCAGTTAAAGATAAAGGAAACAAACGCACTTTCAACTCATTTAGTGAGCCTGCTTCACCTAGTTGTGCTAAGTATTGACTAACATGCTCCCATGTGGTTTTTGTGCCCTCTCCATTGAACTTAATAAAATCTGGAATCTTATATCCCGGAGGGCACTGGATGGCATCAAAGTACTCGGGGTACGACTTTTGGTAAATCCGATTCCGAGGTAACTCAACTCCAAAATTCTCTCTAAGCATCTTAGCCATCTCCTCTCTAAGATTAGCTAGACCATCATCCGTAGCGGACAATGAAGCTTGTGGCAGTGACATAGGAAGAGTATGGTTACTAGCTGTAGGTAGGAATTGTGGCATGTATGTCGACCCATAATTTGGTAGTGGTCGAGTGGTTGTAGCTGTAGGTAGAGTTTGGTTCGGCGTTGCCACCGAACCTGTCATGCTCATAATAGGATTAATGGGTGTAGCCACAATCTGATTTGTTTGGGTAGGATAATAAGTCATCGGCACGGGAGGCGCCGATGCAATAGGTAAAGCCAAATTAGGGTTTTGCACGCTAGCAGTTACACCATTATTACCACTAGACGATTGAGATATATTCTTCTGAGCATTAGTATTTTCTATAAAAGTTTGATAGACTAGATTGTTACCATCAGCAATACGACTTTCAATCTCAGCCCACTGCTCAGGAGAAAAGGCAGTACTTACAGAGGGTTTAACCTGTTCAGTTTGAAGAGGAGGGAACTTGATTTCTTCAATCGGAGTGATGTTGCCTTGGCGATCTTTCTTGAATTTTGCAAGGAACTCCTGCAGGTCCTTCTTCTCGCGCGCCTTCTTGTACTCCTCATAGACTTGGCGATGATCGGCCGATATCTCATCAAGACTGGGCTTAATGATGTTATCGGCGTCAACCTCAGATGGCTTGGGAAGATCGGACATGGTGGATGATGATGATTGATCTTCGATCCCCAGCGGAGTCGCCAAAAAGTGTGTTGACACACGAACACGTCACGTGTACCCTCGACGCCAGGGGTGATGCACCGCAGCTCACGTCAAAGGAGACCCGACCGATAGCGCGATACGCAAGACAGTCGACAGGCGCTTTTGCAGACCCGAAAACCCCACACCCCCGGGAGGGACGCCGTCAGGGAGTGCGGCGACTATGGGCTGCCCTAGGTCGATTCGCTCGCCCCTAGAGCCTCGGGATTCGCAGCTCTCAAACACGAAGAACAGCGAAGAACGAGATAGAAAAACAGTGGAGAGATAAAACATAGATGAAAAAGTAGTATATTGATTTGTTCGATTGTGTGTTGTTCAATCGGCCGTCACCCCCAACATATATAAGAGGCGGCTGGACTTCCCGTACAAGTAAAGGATTCATCTAGGCTTTCCTTACAAGAAAAATTACATCAATTCACGTCCTAGAGTCCTAATTCTATTCCAACTCGGATTCAGTCTGAATCTGGCCCAAACTCTGTCTTCCTTCTTGCACGGGCCGCCGGGCTTGCATAGGATCTCCGATCGAGACGGCCCAAATATCAAACTTGTGCGCCTCGACGATACGAACAACTCTCATGTTGGTCACTTTTTCAAATAAGGCCATCTTGAATACTTTTCGAGGTTATCTTTATCTTCCAGTCGGACTCGGTTTTGCAGTAGACTGGATTATCCGAGTCTCGTAGTGAATTTGTAGGCTATATATTATCTCTGATGATGATGACTCCAAAATCAAAGTTTACCGTCTTGATGATACACACAACTTCTGTATTGAACACTTCTTCATCCAAGGTCATTTTGATAAACTTTCGAGCACATGTTCAATTTCACTCAGACTTGAGCTCATCCACTCGGATATTAGATACTTTCACTCGGAAGACAATCTTTCACTCGGATGACTATATTTCCACTCGGATGACTATATTTCCACTCGGAAGGCACTATCTTATTCAATCGGCAAGTTTTCGTCCCGATGGTAATCTTTTCATTCGGAATATTTTCACCTAGACGATAATTTCACTCGGATGATCATATTTCCACTCGGATGACTATATTTCTACTTGGATAATAATAAGTTCATCCGGTCAGTAAACTTTCACTCGACTGGTAAATTTTCACTCGACCGTAAACTTTCACTTGGATGGTAAACTTTTCACTCGGATTTCCGACTGAAAACATAGCCCGATCTTGATTTGTCTCTCCAGGCCTCATACGACCTCGGATTGAGACGAATTATATATGAAAATCGATCGGCTCGACGATGCGAAACTTTTCCGTGTTGAAGGTTTTTCGATTCAAGGCCGGCTTGATGGCCGAATTACTCGCGCAACCTATTGTCTGGCACCTCGCGCCATATTTCCGTTGAGGTTCGGTCTGCAGTGTATTGCCTCTAACTTTTGCATATGAACTCGGATTGAGATGATTTATATATTAAAATCGATTGCCTCGATGAGACGAAGACAATTCCTTAAGAGTGCTCCTTCACACGAGGTTATCTTGAAGACGTGATTGGCTAAAAACCACTCGAAACATTGAATTATGCCACTCGGAGTATAGTTTCAGTCCGTAAGATAAAGTCGAATGAATATAACCGAAACATCAAAGTGGTTCCACTCGGCGACGTGAATCTTTTCATGCTGAAAACCCATTCACTCGAGACCATCTTCATTGCAATCTGTATCTTGCCAAAATCAGGTGTCAACACCTCTGTTTTGAAAATGTGTGTGCTCCCAACAAGTTTGTTGTGGCGATCATTGTTGCTAAGCTTCCTCATTCATGAAACTTTATCACTTTTCTGAAACACCAAAGACAATACTAGGTCTCTCTGTTGGTTCAGATTTTTCACAGTTGACGAACTGTTTCTTTAGAAGAAAACAGTGCCCGGCATAGGTGACCACGTAGAGCGCCGTTGGGCCATATTCGTATGATGGGCCCTGGAAAAAATGAAAGAAGCGGGGCCCTGGAAAGAATATAGAAAGAAAAACAATCCAGTATCCTTTATGGGCCCGTTGATCCTCCATAACACCATCGCAGCCAATAAGGTCACGCCATTGCCCGTCTCGCGGATCGCCACTCGCACAGGCGCCCTCCCTGCCGTTGGATCGCATCCGTCGCTCCAGAATCACCCAAAGGCCAACCCGCCTCACCGCGCGAAAATTTTCGCTAGCCCGCCCGCCTCCGCAGCTGCTACAAATACAGTCCCCCCCAAATCGGGAACCCACACCGCAATCCCACATCTCCACTCTCGAACCTTCCAAGCTCCTCCCGGCCTCCCCTCGCTTCCACCGAGTCCCTCCGATCCGATGGCCCGCACCAAGCAGACTGCGCGCAAGTCCACCGGCGGGAAGGCGCCGCGGAAGCAGCTGGCGACGAAGGCGGCGCGCAAGTCGGCGCCGGCCACCGGCGGCGTGAAGAAGCCGCACAGGTTCCGCCCCGGAACCGTCGCCCTGCGCGAGATCCGCAAGTACCAGAAGAGCACGGAGCTGCTGATCCGAAAGCTGCCGTTCCAGCGGCTGGTGCGGGAGATCGCGCAGGACTTCAAGACGGACCTCCGGTTCCAGTCGTCCGCCGTGTCGGCGCTGCAGGAAGCCGCGGAGGCGTACCTCGTCGGGCTGTTCGAGGACACCAACCTCTGCGCCATCCACGCCAAGAGGGTCACCATCATGCCCAAGGACATCCAGCTCGCGCGCCGTATCAGGGGCGAGAGGGCCTGATGAACGAATTCTCTCTGTCTCTGTTCTCTGCCGCCGTTGATGTTCTTGGTGTCGTCGTCGTGTGTTAGGATTTAGAAAATGTTGGGTTGTCGCCTGCTGCTTACCATTACTAGTATCTTGTAGCGATGGTTCGCCTCTGGAATGTCGTTCAATGGAATGTTACCGCTGCTTCATTGCTTTGCGAATGCTTGTGTTCATTGCATTTCTTTACGCATATGGGATCATCTGAATTTTGTTCTCTGATGAAAGCACTGTGATGTGGTTGTCACAATGGTGTTTGTGTGTAATCGAGTGGAGCATCTTCAGTTGTCCGCACGAGCAGCAGAAATAAGTTTCAGAACGAATGCAAGTCTGAATGTCATGTTGAATCTTTGCATCGAGAAGCTGCAGTTCAGCAGTTGACCATTCCGCGAGCGACCCATCTCTCTTTTTTTTGAGACAATTTTTTCCTTTTTAGCTTCAAGAGCCATCTCTTCTATGGGCCTATTTCTGTTGGTTAGTTCTCGGCGTTGGGCCTTTTCAGTGACATCCAAACAATAAGCCAGGCCTAGGCCCCTTGCTCACCCACGACTCGACCCCCAAACAGCAGATGGCGAGCATTCCGGGGATGTCTCTGTTCGCCCAGTGCTCCGCACGGCGAGTCGGCGGGAGCCCTGGGTGGATCGAGCTCGTTCCCCGCATCGCAGGCCGCAGCCTATCGATCGGTAAAGGAATTCTATACCCAGATTAGCCTTACTAGTCTCTAGTTCTGGTAGATAGTCTCAAGCCTCGAGGGTTCTTGTTCAAGAATACTGTATTTGGTAGGGCAGTTCTAAAACGGAAGTAGTACTGCCGATGTCTTCTCTGAAGATTCAAGCCCACTTATTTTGATGATAACCTAGCCAACCTGTTGTTACTAGTTTTAGATTTAGATTGATTCCCTGAGGATTGAATGCAAGGGAGCGAAGCCCGGACCCTGGTCTTTATGTAATATATGGATGACCCATTCTAATTGTTTGAATTGTTCTGCTAAGATGGCCTGTGATCAATGCAATTTTTGAAATTGCAAAGGACGTCAGGAGTTATGCCCTTTCGTGAAGAAAATACGAAGGGCCTGTTCGTAATCACCCGCTCCCAGAATCTGTGGAGCGGGGAAACCACAACTCCTTCGATTTGAACAACAGCTCCGCCAACTCCGCTCGTGGCGTTGTGGAGCGGAGGGATACCGAACAGGGCGTTAGTTAGCAAAATGCATGCTGCCTGCCTTGAGAGGGCAATGCATTTTAGTGTCAAGATAGCTGGCATTGCGAAATCTGAAGCTCCACCGATGATGCAATTCCCCGAGTACCAAGTGTTACAGGGCCAGTGATCTTTCTTAGTCACCCCAAGCAAAGGCTGAAGGTAATTTGATGTGACCGCGGAATCGTAGTACTTATTGCAGATCTCCAAGGGTTCCAGAGAGTAATGGCAGGTGACCGCTCAAGGTCATCTGTTGGTTAGCTGTTGTTCAGGCATCTCTGTTTCCCTGATGCTGATAGAACCTAACCACTTTATGGTTGTATGCTGCGCAACCACTCAGGAGGTTTTATGGTCATTGTCAGGATGTTTCACTCAACAGTTTTTGTGGTTACCATTTCAGCCGTGCCCCAACGGCAAGGGTACCCGTCGCGTTCTCCAGTCTCCACCATGCCTAGTCTTGTCTTGTGTTGTACTATGTTTTTGTTGCTTCTTAATATTAAAGCAGCGCTACCCATTCTGTGCTTCTTATCAGTGGCAGCTTGTTTCGCAGTTTGCTCAACTTCAATATGCTGCTTCACATATTACTTCTTGGCCTTATTTCCACCCTACAGATTCCTGCATCCTCTGCTGCCATTGACTCCATTGCACCAGGCCAAGGACTTGTTTGCGGTGTCGGTGACAAGCTTGTCTCCCTAGATGGCAAGTTTGCGCTTGGCTTCTTCCAACCAGGCAGTAAGTCCCGCAACACCTTGAATTGGTACCTAGGCATTTGGTTTAATAAAGTCCCCAAGATAACTCCGGTGTGGGTCGCAAACCGTGATGATCCAATCACACAGCCAGCTTTAGTTAGGTTCACAATTTCCCAAGATGGCAATCTTGTCATCTTGGATCAAGCCACCAATTCCATGATCTGGTCTAGCGGAGTTAGTATCAGAACCAACACCACCATGGCCATGCTCATGAACAGTGGAAACCTTGTCCTACAAAATGCCTCAAAGTCATCCGACATTTTATGGCAGAGTTTTGATCACCCAACAAATACTTTTCTCCCTGGTGCAAAGATCGGCCAAGACAAGGTCACTGGTTTGACTCGCCGTCTTGTTTCCGGAAAGAACTTGATTGACCCAGCTCGTGGTCGTTACTGTTATGAGTTAGTTCCTAACAGGTTGATCCTTACACTTTTGAACTCATCGATAGCATACTGGTCTAGCGGGGAATGGAATGGACAGTATTTTAGCTCCATTCCAGAGATGTTAAGCCGCAGCTTGATAGACTTCAAGTTTGTCAACAACACAAATGAAGAGTACTTCACATTCACCTTACTGAATGACACGATGATCATGCATCATCTACTTGATGTTTCTGGTCAAATGAAGACTTTAATCTGGGATGAGGTCTCGCAGGGTTGGTTAGGTTCCTACTCCAACCCCAAAGCTCAGTGTGATGTCTATGCTCTCTGTGGACCATTCACTGTGTGCGATGATAACTCAGCTCCATATTGTAGCTGTATGAAGGGCTTCTCCATAAGATCCCCAGAGGATTGGGAGCAAAATGATAGAAGCGGTGGATGCGTGAGAAATACTCCTTTAAATTGTGGCAGTAACAGGAGTACTGCAGGAATGACTGATGAATTCTACTCCTTGTCCAATGTGAAATTGCCTCAGAATGCTGACAACATAGGCGCTGCTATCAGTGCTAGAGAATGCGCAGAAGTTTGCCTGAGAAATTGCTCTTGCACTGCGTATTCTTGCACTGACAGTCAATGCTCCATTTGGCATGAGGAACTCCTCAATGTAAAACAGCAGCATGCTGACACTACCGATACAAATGATGGCGCAGTTCTTTATCTTCGCCTTGCTGCAAAAGAGATGCAAACTCAGAAACCTGACAGAAGAGTGGCCACTCGGATTTTGTCAGCTGCCATTGTCACCGCACTGGGGTTGCTGGCACTCATATTGCTAGTTCTTCTACTGATGATTCGGAGGAACAATAGGGATTGGTCTGGTGGTACACTGAAAAATCCTCAAGACGGTGGTGGAATTATTGCATTTAGATACATTGATTTGCAGAGGGCAACAAGAAATTTCTCCGAGAAGCTAGGTGCCGGCGGCTTTGGTTCTGTGTTCAAGGCATATCTGACCGACTCAGCTACAATGGCAGTGAAAAGGCTTGATGGTGCTTGTCAAGGAGAAAAACAATTCAGGGCTGAGGTGACTTCAGTCGGAGTTATACAACATATCAATTTAGTTAGACTGATCGGTTTCTGTTGCGAGGGTGAACGGAGGTTACTTGCATATGAGCACATGCCAAATCGTTCTCTTGACATCCATCTATTTCAGGACAACAACACAGTTTTAAACTGGGGAACCAGGTATAAAATAGCTCTGGGAGTTGCTAGAGGGCTGGCTTACCTGCATGAGAGCTGCCAAGACTTGATCATACACTGTGATATCAAGCCACAAAATATACTTCTTGACACGTCGTTTGTTGCTAAAATTGCTGACTTTGGTATGGCCAAGTTAATAGGGAGGGATTTTAGCCGGGTTCTGACTACAACAAGAGGAACTGCAGGATACCTTGCACCCGAATGGATAAGCGGGGTTGCTATCACGGCAAAAGTCGATGTTTATGGTTATGGGATGGTGCTAATGGAAATAATATCAGGAAGACAGAATTCATTTGAACAATACAGTGTAGGTGGTGACTGTGCTGTTTTCTTCCCTGTGCATGCTGCGCAAATGCTTCTCGAGGGAGATGTGGCAAGCTTGGTGGATGAAAAATTATCGGGTGATGTAAATCTAGAGGAGGCTGAACGGCTATGCAAGGTTGCTTGTTGGTGCATTCAGGATGATGAGTTTGATCGGCCGACGATGGGCGAAGTTGTTCGTATTCTAGAGGGCCTATCTGATCTTGATACGCCTCCCATTCCAAGACTACTTCAGGCCATTACAAGGAGGAGCTCTCACCCCCCTTCCACCTACCTCTCTAATGAATCAGAATAATGAAGATGCAACATGGCGTACATCAGAAAAACATCTATTCCCTCCGGTCCAAATTAATTGACTCAGACTTAGTACAAGGTTAATATGAACCGGAGGGAGTACTAATATATACGAAACATAGTATGAAAGTCTGAGGGAGCAAGAAGAATGACACCATATATCTGTGTAATTTAAGCTTTACTCTGTAGTCTGTACCAGGTGTGTAAAATATCTGTCCAATCGTTCTAATCTACAGTCTGAAATAAAATTCGTCAAAAGCTCAGTGCAATCTCTTGCAGGATTGATTTTGCTTCGTGGTGGTGTCGTTCACTTCTTCACTGGAATATACTGTATATGTTTTATCATTTGTTGCCTTGCCCTGTTTAATACGGGATTCTAGTCTGGGTATGATAAGTTCTGAAGTTAATTTGAGGGCGGTAGTTCCTCAGGATTCGTGGTAGTAGCTTCATATTCTGATGGTCATTTTGAATTTGGACGGGATGCAGTGTTGGTGGTGTAGGCCTTTCTCTTCTGTTCTTTGACCATTGCCCAGCACAGAAATTACCGATGTCTTATTTTGAGCACTGTGTGCTTGTAACATGAAAAATTTCGTGGCAATCAATCGCTGGCTTGCAGCTGAATTATGCACATCGGAGTGTCAAGATTCTTGTATCTCTGTCTCTACTACAGTATTTAAATCTTACATACAACTTCAGATACACATTGCACACCAACAAGGCCTCCATTGCCGTCTGAGTCGACGCCGAGGGTTTATGTTTCACTTCACAAGGTGCTTCTGAGGGTTTTTGAGTAAATTGCAAAAAACCACCACAATTGGGGACCCTAATTCAGAAAACCACCATCATTCAGTTTTTTTTCAAAAAACCACCAATATTGCGGTGACAGTTTTCAAAAAACGCTAATTGACTGATTATAGCAGCTTGATGCAAAATCTGACGGATGGGTCCCAGTATAATGTGCCACGTGGTGAGGGTGAAGACGCCGCCGGTCACGCATGTACTAACGGCGCTAACTTTGTTAGGTTTGACCAGTTCGCATCCATCGTTCTTAAAAAAAGTCCATCGCCGTGCCCAGCGAGCCCGCGCCCGCACCGGCCGCCCCCAGCGCCCTAGTCGGCCGCCGGCAGGCCTGCCTCGAAGCACTGCCGCCCGTCGCCTCGCACGCTAGTTGGCCGCCGGCAGGCCTACCTCGCAGCGCTGCGTCCCGGCGAGCTCCGCCTTCGCCGTGCCCGACTCGCCTCCCGCAGGCAGCCACCGACCAGCTTCAGATGCGCCCGGAACTCGCGGCCGCCACAGAGCAAAGGGAAGCGAGCGTGGGGCCAGGGCTAGACCAGAGGGGGATGCGTGCCCGGCGTGGTCGGGAGTATCAGCTGCTGCAGCTTGCCGGTCCGCAGCGGGCGGCGAGCATGGCATGGGACAGGAAACGGGAGGAGAGGGCAAGCGCGCGGGGAGGAGCTGGAGGTGGCGGCGCACGGTTCGGTCCGCAGCCGGCTGGCCGGCGTGCTTGTTCCCTTGCCGAGGATGCAGTCGGGCACGCGCGGCTTGGTCAGCAGCCGGTTGTCCGGCGCGCGCTGCTCGTTCTGCTGCTGGCGGCGAGCGCGGGGTGGAGTTGGTGACGGGAGGAGGAGGAGGAGGAGGAGGGGAAGCGCGCAGGGGAGCTAAAGGTGGCGGCGCTGGCTGCCGGCGCTGGAGGAGTCGCGCCGGCGAGGTAGTGACGGCCATGGCGTGGGCGTGGCTGTGCGCACAGGGTGCTTGATAAAATGCACGAGAGAGTGAGGAGTGGAGATACTGACAGGTGGGCCATATACCAACTTAACGGTCCAGGCAAAACGGCCCCAATTTTTTGTCCATGTCATCACTTACACATGGGACCCATCCGTCAGATTCTGTATCAAACGTTGCTTATCATGTTATTAGTGTTTTTTGAAAACTGTCACCACAATGTTGGTGGTTTTTTGAAAAAAACTTGAATGATGGCGGTTTTCTGAATTAGGGTCCTGAATTGTGGTGGTTTTTTGCAATTTACTCGAGGGTTTTTGGATCGATTGGGCCAAAGAAAAATAAGGAAGAAGTGCTGCATTTTTCATGACGTTCAGTCATCATAATTTAATTTTCATTCAGAAGTTGCTTTGGTTCAGTGATAAGCGAGAGGCCAATGCCCCGCAACTTACCATCCATGATGCCATCGATTCTCTGCGCCATCTCGGCCGTCATGTGCTGCTTCCAGTCCCCAACCTCCCCATTCCTGAAGAACGCCGAGTTGCTGAACTTCCAGTGAACCCCGTACTCGCCGGTGCGGTTCGCCTCCACGCTCCTCATCCGCTCTATGCCGCACAGCGCTGCCACGGCCTCGGGGACGCCCCCGGCCGCCTCCTCGGCCGTGAACGGGCAGCCGAGGAACTCGGCGAGCCGCTTCACGCTCCCCACCGTGTCCTCCTTGACGTGCTCGTACCGGAGGAACATGACCTGCTCCGGCCGCGCCAGGCTCTCCCTCCAGTACTCGGCCACGTGCTCCCACGCCGGCCCGAACGGCGAGACGCCGTCGCAGAACGCCGCGAGCAGCTCCTCGAGCGACGCCGCGGTGGCGCCCGGACGGTTGGCTTTGCGGAGGTAGTGCCAGAGCGAGACGAGCGCGTCCTTGGGGTCCCGGCACATGTAGACGACGCGGCAGCCGGAGCCGGCCACGGACGCCGGCAGCGCCGAGAGCGGCGCGTGCACGGCCAGCACGCGCGGCGCCGGCATCGCCTCCAGGAGCGGCGCCGCGGCCGACCGGTGCTTCTCGTAGACGTAGTGCAGGAATGGGACGAGGTCGTGGGGGCTGGAGCCCAGGAGCGGGTGGCGGCGCTGCCCCGCGCCGTCCTCCAGTGCTGGCGTGTGCGTGCGGCGGTACGCGACGGCGAACACGAGCGCCTTGAGCCACGTGGTGCCGGACTTGGGCAGGGTGGCGACGAGGATGTCGGTGGGGCGGGCGACGAAGGTGTCCCGCGCGGCGAGCGTCGGCGACATTTGGTGCGCCGGGTACCAGAAGCCGCGGTGGTTCTTGTACGCGGCGGCCCCCAGGCCCTGGCACGCCGACGTCGGGAGGGAGGAAGCGATCGCCTCGTACCTGGCGTAGGCGTCAGGGGCGGCGTTGCCGTCCATATCGTGCGTGGCGCGTGACATTTCCGCGCGGCTCTCTGTGGATTCAGTATAAGAGACGGGTCGACAATCAGGCCCCGCTTGGTTCGTCGTTTTGGAGCGATTTACACCGGTAAAATATGCAAGTGTAAAACAAAACGAGCCGTGTTGAGTTATGCGGTTGGTTCGTCGGTTTTGGGTGGTATTTTTTACACCGGTTTTGTCAAATACACTTGTATTACACCGGTTTTGGATACAGACCTGGGCCCGACGTTTTCTGCCTCCGCATTCTCTCTCTCTCTCTCCAAATCGTGGAGGTGGGCACGCGCCGCCGGAGCAAGAAAGGGGTGAGGCACCAGCGGCAAAGGCTGCGACGGGGCCAGGTGTCGCCGCCGGCGCCCGTGCCAGTGACCGTGACCGTGAAAGAGACGAGGGGCGCTGTCGACCGCGACCACGCCGGGAGAAGCTGCCGCGGAGACATCCGGAGCTTCTCGGAGAGTAGCCGGCCGAGGACCCAGTCCCGCTAGCGATTGGCGGCGAGCGACGGACCGCCGGAACGCCCACCTCGATGAACACGGAGGAGATGGGTTGGATCTTGCTGGATAAACTGGAGAGCCGTGCCCTCCAACGAGGACATCGCCATGGCCTGGAGCAGCTGGACGGTGCAGTTCCTATCGAGGCAGAGCATGATGACCGGGCTGTGGCAACGCGATAGATCGCGCATGGCGAGGTGGTGAGGTTGCCGAGCACCAGGAGCGCCCACGGCGACCGGGGACAGATTGATGGCCGGCGGCCCGGCGGTTGAGGCAGAGGAGTGAGACGATGACCAGGAGGGGGATGAGCAGCAGGTAGAGCGGTAACTTGGTCGCACGGGCCCTGGCTTTGTCGATGGCGTTGGAGGTTGGACGTGATGATGCTTGTGTGCTTGAATACGGTGGCATTACAACCTGGGAGCCAAGCGCATGTTACAACCGGAAATTATTTACACCAGGAATTTGTTGGAGGTGGGTAATATACAGGTGTAAAATGTTACCGGGGTAGCAAAAATACAGCATTCCAATCGGGGCCTCAGTCAATCAAACATTCCCGCAAAAAAATAAAAAAAAAATCAGTCAATCAAACAAAGGCAACTTCGGTGGTGCTTCGATGGTACTGTGGGTCATGGGTGTAACGACTTGTCCTACTAGGAGAAACTGTAGGGTACTGTAGAAGTGAGCTGGCTGGCTAGCTCACCACCTCATGGCCTAGCCAGTAAGATCCAGGACTTTTCTCACTTCAAGCTGTTGTAAGCCACACAAGTCCAAGGATTTAACTGGATTATCTCATCTCTAAAAAAATAATTAGTACTCCCTCGGTAAACTAATATAAGAGTGTTTAGATCACTAAAATTAATGATCTAAACACTCTTATATTAGTGCAGAGGGAGTAGTTGGAGTATCTCTTTTCCTGCCACCAAAACTTCCATGCGCGGTCCATGGTCGTCTTTCATTGAGATAATATAGATCAAATGATCAAACTGCAAAGTAAAACGGGGACAAACGCGGCCACAGACTTTTGGAACATGGTTTCACGTGAACCCCTTATGAATAGTAAATTCGAAAAAATCATTAGGAAAACAAAGTAAATTATGTTATTTCTGTAACATACATAGTCAATCGGTATACTTGCGTATGAAATTTCATGAAGAAATGACATCTGTAGTATTCTAGGTAAAAATAGAGAAAAAGATGGTATAAAAAGCATTGTTTGAGTGAACAGTAAGATCCCGATTGCATTTTCTTCACCAATTTCTTCATAAAACTCCACACGCGAGTAGAGTGGTCGACAAAGTCAATACCCTAAAATTTTAGTTTTTCTCTTAAATTTTCTAGTATTTTTCTCAATTTTACTGTTCACGTGGGTGCCTGGAACCATGCCCACCTTTCTATTCTGGAGACAAACACTCTCTCTCAAAACAGGCTTTCGCCCCGCTTTATGAATGTAGCCACAACCGAACAAGTATATGGCCGAACGATACAAGGTGGTGAGGTGACCCTCTTACAAAGCCAGATAACTGGCAACAAAATCAAAAGAAAATACAGGAAGAACTGAACACAACAACACACTACACCCTAGGACATCTAAGAGCATCTACAACAGGGCGCCCCAAACCCACCTCAAACGCCCGGGCAGACGGCCAAGTCACAAAAATGCAACCTAGACGGGCGCTTTAAACGGACATCAAACACCTAGGCTGACCGGCACCCCTCATATCCAGCTTAAATATGGGGCGGATATGAGGGCGCCTGCGTGTGTCCGGGCGCGTCCACCACATCGAACCCGATAGCCCCACCCCATCTTAAAATGCATCAAATCTACCCCCTCAACCTACCGGATCCATTTACTCTTTCTCCCTTCTTCCTCGCCCGCAACTGTTGGGGAACGTTGCATGTAAAACAATTTTTTTCTACGCACACGCAAGATCTTTCCATGGAGATGCATAGCGACGAGAGGGGAGAGTGTCTACGTACCCTCGTAGACCGTTAAGCGGAAGTGTTTATCAATGCGGTTGATGTATTCGTACACCTTCATGATCCGTCCGATCAAGTACCGAACGTACGGCACCTCCGCGTTCAGCACACGTCCAGCTCGATAACGCCCTCGCCTTCTTGATCCAGCAAGACGACCGAAGTAGTAGATGAGTTCCGACAGCACGACGGCGTGGTGACGGTGGTGATGCAACTATCTCCCAAGGGCTTCACCGAGCACTATGAAAATATGACTGAGGGTGAACTAGAGGGAGAGGGGCGCCGCACATGGCTTGGGGATCGTGGTGTCTGTTGCCCCTCTTCCTCCTCACATATACATAGGTGGGGGAGGGAAGGCAGCCCTAGGGCGCCCCAAGGGGGCCGGCGGCCAGCCTTAGCGCCTGCCCTGGCCGCGTCCTCCCCTTTCCTTCCTGGTGCTTGGGGGGAAAGGCAGGAGGGGAGGCGCCCCCCTTTTCCTTTCACTGGATGTGGAAGAGAAGGAAAGAGGGGGCTAGCCCTCTCCCTTCCTTCCCTAGGGCCGTCCTCCATGAGGTGGGGGTGCGCCAACCCTATGTGGGCCGGTGTGCTCTCCCTCGTTGGCCCGTTTGGTCCAATATGCTCCCGTGGCCTCCCGAAACCCCTTCTGGTGATATGATAATACCTGGTGCATTTCGAAACCTTTTCGGAGACCAAATACTATCAACCTATATATCAATCTTTACCTCCGGACCATTCCGGAGCTCCTCGTCATGTCTGTGATCTCATTCGGGACTCCGAACAACATTCGGTCACCAATTCACATAACTCATATAATATTATATCATTAACGAACGTTAAGCGTGCAGACCCTACGGGTTCGAGAATGATGTAGACATGACCGAGACACTTCTCCGGTCAATAACCAATAGCGGGACCTGGATGCCCATATTGGTTCCTACATATTCTATGAAGATATTTATCGGTCGAACCTTTATGACAACATATGTAATTCCCTTTGTCTGTCGGTATGTTACTTGCCCGAGATTCGATCGTCGGTATCTCTATACCTAGTTCAATCTCGTTATCAGCAAGTCTCTTTACTCGTTGGATAATACATCATCTCGTAACTAACTCCTTAGTCACTTTTCTTGCAAGCTTCTTGTGATGTTGTATTACCGAGAGGGCCCAGAGATACCTCTTCGATATACAGAGTGACAAATCCCAATTTGATTCACGCCAACTCAACAGACACCTTCGGAGATACCTGTAGAGCATTTTTATGATCACCCAGTTACGTTGTGACGCTTGATAGCACACAAGGTATTCCTCCGGTATCCGCGAATTGCATGATCTCATGGTCGAAGAAACATGTATTTGACATTAAGAAAGCAGTAGCAATAAACTGAACGATCATATGCTATGCTAAGGGTTGGGTCTTGTCCATCACATCATTCTTCCAATGATTTGATCCCGTTATCAAATGACAACTCATGTCTATGGTTAGCAAACCTTAACCATCTTTGATCAATGAGCTAGTCTAGTAGAGGCTCACTAGGGACACGGTATTTGTTTATATATTCACACATGTATTTAAGTTTCCGGTCAATACAATTCTAGCATGAATAATAAACCTTTATCATGAATAAAGAAATATAATAATAACAACTTTATTATTGCCTCTAGGGCATATTTCCATCAATCTCCCACTTGCACTAGAATCAATAATCTAGTTCACATCGCCATGTGATTAACACCGATAATTCACATCGCCATGTGACTAACACCCAAGGAGTTTACTAGAGTCAATAATCTAGTTCACGTCGCCATGTGATTAATACCCAAAGAGTACTAAGGTGTGATCATGTTTTGCTAGTGAGAGAGGTTTAGTCAACGAGTCTGCCATATTCAGATCCGTATGTATTTTGCAAATTTCTATGTCTACAATGCTCTGCATGGAGCTACTCTAGCTAATTGCTCCCACTTTCAATCCATATCCATATTGAGACTCAGAGTCATATGAATCGGTGTCAAAGCTTGCATCGACGTAATCCTTTAAAACGAACTCTTTATCACCTCCATAACCAAGAAATATTTCCTTAGTCCTCCTAGGTAACTAAGGATAATTTTGACCACTGTTTAGTGATCCACTGGATCACTATTGTAATCCCTTGCCATACTCATGGCAAGGCACACAACAGTTCTGGTACACAGTATGGCATATTTTATGGAACCTATGGCTGAGGCATAGGGAATGACTTTCATTCTCTCTCTATCTTTTGCCTTGGTAGGGTTTTGAGTCTTATTCAACTTCACACCTTGCAACACAGGCAAGAACCCTTTCTTTGACTGATCCATTTTGAACTCCTTCAATTTTTTTGTCAAGGTATGTGCTTTGTGAAAGTCCTATTAAGCGCCTCGATCTATCCCTATAGATCTTGATCCTCAATATATATAAGTAGCTTCACCGAGGTCTTTCATTGAAAAATTCTAATTCAAGTATCCTTTTATGGTATCCAGAAATTCTATATCATTTCCAATCAGTAATATGTCATCCACATA